TCAAGACTGCATGTGCACATCAAAATAAATACGTCCCTAACAAGGCTGGCCCTTGTCAGTTGCATTATAAAGCTCATATTGTACTGCAAATGTTCCAAGCCCAAGTAGGTAAAATAACTCAGGTAAACAATTAACCAGTGCATACAATAAGCATAAGGTTGGCTGACTGTGAGCACTGACTGCTGGGAAAACGCATTCTAAGGCGCTCTTGCCTGTACAGAAGGGCACCCTTGCTTTGCCACTTACTGATCTTTCAGACTGAAGTAGCTGGGAGGTGTTTCTGGTGCTAAGCACATTCTGTGACTAAGGAGGCCAAGGCCCCTGACCAGTGGCTTGTCTGCGATGACCAGCCAGGAAATAACACAAGGGAAAATCATCAGCACAATCAGAAGTGCAGTTGGAATTGCATTGTCAAGGAAGGCTTGTTATACTCCAAAGGAGAAATTAACTAAACCACTTCATTAGTCATGCTGACAGCACAAAAAATTAAATAGCAGGCAACAAAAAAATACCAGCCTTGAAGTAAAAAGTTTGCATTTCTGAAAAGAGAAATGTCATTTGTTAATGTATCTTTCAAAAATCCTTTCAGAACATAGCAAATGCCTAATATCTTTACATTGTAAAGGGGTTAAGGTTCCAAGTGATGAATTACAAAATGGATTTTTACAGCTTTTTAACTTCTTTAAGATATGACCCTTGTTTAACAGTTGGAGAACCGTTATCAAATCTGTAATATAAACATTCACCATTTTGAACTTTTATAGGAAATTCTGTATTTTAGACATGGGTTATTCTTTGCTGCGTGGCTCCACTGAAACTACAGCGGAACAGTTCATAAATACAACCTACCCAGTACAGGATAGAGACTGTCTTTGGAGGGCAGTTCTTTACTGCAGATTCCCTAGGATTTTCATCCCTTCACTCCCAGATAGATCTTACAGAGGGACCTGGTCAGGAAACTCAATCAGTTTCACACAAGTGTGGGTGCATCCAGTTTTGGTTCATGGCTGCTGTGCCTAAGCAACACCCTCCATACCTCTATGACTTCTTGGTCTTCCAAAAGAGCTGAACAGAGTTTTTTGTTTGTTTAAGAGATGGATCTAGGTCAAGCATGCTCGTGTATGTGACTGATACAGAATCAGTTTCCAGCCCAGGTAATTCTCACTGAGCACATGAAGGACCAACTGCATCTCCCTGCCCTAGAGACAGCTGTTCAGTGACAGTCAGTATCTGTGACTTCTATTCTCCCTCTTGTACAGTAAAACCTTCCAGATAAAAATCTTATGGGTATCAGACAATGTGTGCAAAGTATTATAGCTTCAGTTTTCCCTTAAATGAAAATTCAGCAAAAAAGGAATCTGTCCATCTTAATTATGATTAAATATAAAAACAATACAGTAGATGTGTGTTCATGTATCTATATATGAAAATTGTGTTCAAAACAATAAGCATATGTTAACATTTACAAATGTAGTGTGGCTTCATTTCACCCTTTCAGTGCTGATTCCTTTGGTCCTGATGCAATGCCTTTTCACTCCTGACCACTCCCAGCTGCTGAAATGACTTTTGGGAACACAAGCTTCCTGAGAGCTACTCTGCATCTCTGTAGGTGTGAACCAGGCGTAGTATGGCAGGCAGATGCAATTTCTGTGTCTCACAATCAAACACACTTCAGGAACAAAAGATAAATTTGTTTAAAATTCCTCCACATTACTAGTTGGATAATTTAGGTGTCAGAAAGGTTGTGCATCAGTGTAATGTCTGGTCATGTGACAAATATCTGATATTAAAACCTCACAGTTACAGTTATGGAATACCTGAGATTAAAAGGTCAGAAGTGGTTTTCCTCCATTTCTTTGAGGAAGGTCCAAACTCCGGCACTCAGCCACACGACACTCTGAAGTTCTGCTGCCACTTTGATCTGATAAAAGCCTATTTGAAGATGCTCACAGAGGCCTAGTCCCTTTAATTGTGGGAAGAATGATATTCTTGTTCACTCTCACAGACATAGATTAGCCACTGGTTAATACAGGTTTCCTTTTGGTTAAATTAAACTTGAAAAGAGAAATAAAAGTCTTGAAGCAAAATTGCTAGAACTTTCCAGTCCAGCTAAAAATTTTGACATGTCATTTTGAAAGGCCTATAGCATTATATAGGTGCTTGTGTGTCTGACAATGTGTGTTAAAAGCTGTATAATTTTCCAAATATGAAAATAAGTCACATAATACAGATAATTTAGATATTTTTCATAACACCTACTGATCCCAAAGAAAATGCATAGAAGCCATCAGCATAGATGACAGAGAGCAATTGAATGCTTCTGCACTGGTTTATCTCCACTGTTACCTTTTTCTAAAAAAGTCTATTATAATCTTTTGAGTCTTTTACCATATATGGGTCCAACAGCTAAATCAGAAAAAAAAACCCTGTATTTTTAGAGAGCCACTGGATCTAAGATTATTGGCAGAGAAAAATTGCAGCACAGAAAATTCTGTCTTGGAGAATGGAAGCATTTGACAATATATTTTCTTCCTGATAGAAATAGTCAAAGAAATGATCTTGAAGGTAATTACAATTGTGGCTGATTTTCACCAATAAATACTGATAAAGGATAAATAAAATAAAGTTCACACTTGAACATTTCTGAGAGTTAGCTCACTGTGAGAAACTGCAAGTGTATTTCTAGACAATCTGAGGATACCTGAGGATGCCAGAGGCATTTCTGAGGCAAATGCAAGTTGTGACATTCATTCCTTTCCTTCAGAGGAATAAATAAATCTGCAGGTCTTCTTTGGTCAGAACTCAACAGACTGAACCTAGCCACAAGACTGGCATTTGAAACCATACTTCAGGATAGATGTCAGCATAATTTTGCTAGTCTAAAATTTCAGGGACATAAACAACCAAAAGAAAAAACATGTGGTGATATTCAAGCTAGTTTGAAGAATCCTAGCAGGATTAAATTCAACTCCTTATCAGTTTAATTGAACATTTGCTGTGGAATGTAGAGAGTGCAAAAGTGAGCATTGGTCTATACTTTGAATCCCACCTTCCAAACCGGATCATTGGCTCTAGCTGCTAATGAAGTACTGCTATTAAAAATAAAAAGACATTAAATCAAAGGCCATTTCTCCTAATGGGAACCAAGTCAGTGGTTTTCACCTTGGAAAAGGGTGGAGTGGAATTTGTGCCTACCCAGCAACACACCCAGAGAAGCCCAAAATCATCAGGGACAAGGTTAAGGCAGTTCAGAGTCCGTGCTCAGTGTAGACCCTCCCCTGCTCAGGGAATGTCATTCCTGCTTTCCTGAACTCCGCCTGCAGTATCTAGAGGAAAGCAGGCTCGCATTGTCTTCCACTGCTAGCCCCAGGAAACATGATATCATTCTCAAACAAAAGCGGGAAAGCTGACAGATCTATTGAGATGGGTGTGACTACAGCACACACCTCGCTGGTCAGCCCCTGTGGAAAATTCAGTGACTGGCAGCTCATCGGCAATGGGCTGTCTGTGCTCGCCACATTTTAATCTCTGCAAATGACTTGATTCTCCTGCACTTGTGACTTAATGAGCGTCATTGCTGTCTGTGTCAGATGACACCATGCAGAGAAACAGGAGGGACAAGGAAAAAGGTTGGAATAACTGGACTTTCTTTTCTTCTCCATCCATAATGCTCACAGCACCAGATATTTTCAAAAAGTACAAAGCTGGAAGTGATCTGAGGACTAAATAGGTCGAATCCACGTGCAGCTAAACAACCAAGAAACTGAAGCCACGGAAGAGAAGTTGGCAATAACAATATGCAGCCTATTACAGCAATTGCTAGATAAGAATATTTCCAAACATGATTTCAGCAGATTAAAAACTTTTTTTTTTTTTTTGGTCTGTATTAACCTCTAGCCTTTTATCGATGCCAAAAGTAACATCTCAAACTTGCAATTTTATTGTTAACAGCTGTTAGCATGCTGCTAATCAGGAAGATCTGTGCAAAGCAATCATGAAGAAAGTTGCATGGAAATGAGGACTTCTGCCTTTTCTTCCTAATTTCTGGTTTTCATTGCAGGACAATTTGCAGTTCTACAGCACATTACATTTTCACTGTGAGATGGACTGGATCTATATATATCTCAATACAATGGTCAGGAGTGAGTTAAGAGTCTAAGGTTATCATATGACTTGTATTTTTCTTTTACATATTTTTACAGAAGAAACTGACTAGAGAATCAAATGGAGGATTGTTAAAGTGATACTCAAATGTGGAGCAACTCTGAATCTGATGGCAGGAGGACAGTCGTCCTCAGGGCTCTGCCTGTGATAGATTCAGCAAGGTATCTCAAACATAATTGCTGAAATTACTGTCAGCTAAAGTTGAATCAGTATATTTCTGTATACCTTTCTACAGATATCTCTTATGGCAACTTCTGACTTGCTGAACTAATGACATTTCCTGATAATACTATATAACCATATTTTAAGTGGTTTTAATTATCTTGTATTTTTCCCCTTCTTGCTCACTGACTTTCATCTAAATTCCACTTGTGGAATATTGTCTAAAATCAGATACTGGAATAGCTACACACATCAAGTGTACAGCTAGTTCATAAAATCAGTCACAGAAGAAATTGACATTTAATCTGTATTTAGAACAGATTTCTTAGGGAATGACAACAATGGTTTTAAAGTTATCAGCTGTATGAAAAAAATTGCGCCATTAGACAGAAAAAAACCCCTGCTGCAACATGTGTGAACAAATTCAATATTCGTAAGTGGCAGCAGTGGATGCTACATGTAGTTAAATCACCCCCAGTTGCATGGCCCCAGTCCTGCCCTCACTGGCTGTAAGAGCTCTGCACAGAGAAGTGGAATCACTGAAACAAACACGAGTACTTAAATCAGTAAAGGTAAATGTTGGAGTGAAAGGTAGACAGTCAAAGGGTAGGTGCATACTGTGTGAAAAACAAAGGCATGACAGGTCCAGTACAGCAATTAAAGACAAAGTTTACCTGAAATCAACAAGCTGAATCCACAGAGAACTAGGTGTGCTAGAGGGTCCATGCTTTCCAAAGTGTATCCATCCAGTTCTTACAGCTGCTCATGGAGTATCCTTTCCCCGGGGTAGCCTTTAGCAGTTAGTCTTGTCCTGCATGGTACGCTGTTTACAAGTCACAGGCAAGAAATCAGAGCACTGGCGCAGGCTGGAACAGTCTCATTGCTGTCTGAGTACAGGGAGTTTAAGTTCCTTTTTCCTGTTTCCTTTGTAGATTAGGATGGGAAAGGCAGGATCTTAAAGGCATTTTTGTATCAGCAGGACTGCAGGGCAGTGCAAATCCCGTCCATCCAGCAATACATCAAAACAATTATCTGGAGCTGCGGGAGAAGCAGGGGACTGCTGTTGTTCATAGTCAGCAGAATAGGAACAATGATGGCATCCTCCAGTAGGCGGGAAAGGGCAAGTAAAACATCCTCCACCTAGGTACAGTAGGTGGAAATTGTTAGTGTCTCCTTCTTGGAGACCAGGTCTGCTAACTTCTCAGGGTGCTATTGTGTTTTCCCTTATTTATTTAATCCACATGTAAGCTGCTGGCTGCAATGCATTTATGCACACAATAATGAAAATATGAAGTAAACAGTAACAAAGCAGCCAGCTGAATCCAGTATATACCAAACCTATCCACAATCCAGTGAACTACTCCCTTAGTTCATGTGTTTTATTGGAAACAATTTTTCTTTACATTTGACAATTGGAACCAGACTGAAAACTTGTTGCAATAATAAAGCTCACACAGAGTTATTATGACTTCAGTAGGATTAAAATGCCCATATCACTCAGGGAGGTCTTGGAAGCTATAACAAAACCCAAAGAAAAAATACAAAGAAAAGCAGAAAAAAAATTTTAAATAAATGGAAAGGCAGCACTCAAATATATAAACTGAATTGAAAATAAAGAGCAATCTTATTTACCACTTTACTAAACATGATCCATTGCAATATAATATTTGGAAGTTCTGTAGTCCTGCCTAGATGCCAACAGCCAGAATTACTTTTATGGAAGTACAGAAAAAGGAATGTTCAGCTTAATTTTGGAAAGGGGGCATGGGTTTATCCTACTTTAATTTCCTTTTAGCTTTGGCTTGTAGTGTAGATTTCACAGAGGAAGTCCTTCATACCCAAGATCTATTGCCATGTGGAGAGAAGTGTTACATCCACAGAAAATGGGAAGGCAGCAGCCCAGAGTTCCTCACCTGTGTGTCTCCTGGCCCTCCATATAACTGAAAGCCAAATCAAGTAGAAATTTATACTGCAAATACTCTTTGGGGGCAAAAACACAGTATGAGGTACAAATATCACTAAAATTCCTTTTTGATGCTTAAAGGAGGCAGAATATTAGATATTCATGTGGTTTTGTTTCAGACTAAAAAAGCCTATATATATATTTTGTCCATTTTAGATTTTGGAGAACATTTACTTTCTTTCGACTCCTAGATGTAAAGCAGCAGTGATTACCCCTTTCCAATTGAACTTTATCTTTTATAAGTCTGCAAGCAGCAATTCCCTCCAATATCAGAATACTTACTGTATTGGCAGATACTAAGTATTATCATACTTCCTATCTTGTGGAAAACTGTTTTGTCATTCATTTAACCTCTTTATAAGTTGGCCAATCCTCAATTATTTTTTAATATCTTTTAATTTGTTGAGGGATGGGGAGCAGGGAGGAAGGAGAGGGGAGTTAAGCAACTGCAGTCAAGGCTGTGGTTCTTCAGATTGCTATTCTAAATTTAGAGGGGTTTTTTAAGTTTTCACTTAAATTTCACTTTCCTGCTGAAGAGAAATGTGTCATGTCTCCATTTGAAATACACCTAGATACAAAGCAATGCTCCTGATACTGATTTTGCAGTATGAAAAATGAGCCAGGTGAGCTGTTCATTCTTTCTGACAAACCAGCTTGTATTACTGATCATTTCATCTGCCCTACAAGGGGGTTATTTATCTCCAGGACAGAATGGACAGGCTGAATATGCTGCAGCAGTCCACAAATTCAAGAAGGTTGTGAAGGCCTGCTGAAGTCAGAAGAGAGGAGATACATACTTACCCAAGTCAGAATTTGTTTAGGGTACCAGCATCAGCAGGACTGTGTATTTGATTTCTGTTTAATTACAAAATTTCATTTTCAAAGAAATAAAGAATAGCATCTATAATTCAGCCAACAATAATGTACTCCACTTAGGTCTGTTTCTATTTGGAAAGCTTTTCAATGCCACAGTTTAAATACTCCTCCCACTGATGTCATAATGAATCACATGATAAACTTTGTCTACTGCAGAATTCAAAGGATTTCAATATTCTGACTTACTCTCACTCAACATTAAGTGTCTGCTAGGTCTACCTTTATTATTTTCATCCTTATATTTCATGAGACTAGAACATAAGTATTTTTTAAGGTAGGTGATATCAATTTTTTGTCCCATGAATTAAAAACTGTATGATCTGATCACCATCTGATTGGTGATTGTCTGTCACCACCACCAAAGAGACAGTCCTTAGCTAACAGGGATACTGAGTCTCAGCTGGCACTCACTATTAATGACCTGAAGGATTCTAAATAGCCTTTGGCAAAACCAGATGGCCAGAAAAACAAACGGGGCTAAAAGTAAGGATGGCACAAGGAATAAGATATGGTACTGAGTTACTCTAACTTTTATTCCATGTCAGGCTGTTGACTACCAGGCTGTCCAATGAGCATTTTTGCTACATCCTCAGTCAGGTATGTAGCTGTATTTTGGCTCCTTAGGCCACACTCTCATATTTTCTAAAGGTACTTGGTAAGACTCCAAAAGTTTCAAAAGTGTTTCCCTCTAAAGCATCAGGTTTTTTTGTTGTTAGCTGTTGATTCAAACATATTCACATCTTAACCCCCGACACAATGGCATGCGTGAATTCAAATTAGTTGCAGCAGGGAAACAAATTTTCTTCCAACATGTAAATAGAACCCTAGCATTAAACATGGCTTTTCATAACTCTCTTTGCTGAAGGCTAATTTTATGATATGTCAAGTGCCCTGAACTCCTGACACCAGGCTTTCCTCCTTAGATAAGCAGCATAGTTGTCTCAAGGACAACCCATTCATACAGGCTGTACCACATGGAAATATGTGAAGAGGAAAAAGAAACAATGTCACTATACTTCTTTAGTCAGGTAGATGTGTTAGCAGAAATCACATATCCTCTTGCAGTGTCTGGTTGTATTCTATTTTTTGGAACCAGGCCATTACTATGGCCTTGATGTGATGTTAATGTGTTAGTAGGAGACAGTAAAGGAACTTCAGGAATTATTACTCATCACAGTCAGCTAATGTGAAACAAAGGTTTACAAATGATAGGGTTTAAGCTTAATTTCCCAAACAGATCATGTTCTCCTCTGCAGCATGTCCTGTGCCACTGAGGCCATCTATAGCCCCTAAGCCATCTATCTGGGACCACCTGGAAGTGAGAGGTAGCGGCCAGGAGGCCAGGCAGAGGACATGTGCAGCTACTGGTGCAAGCACTCAGGATGAGCACTGCCCTACCACTTCAGTGGCAGAGGTAAATGCAGGGAGGTAAAGGTTTCTGGGGTACATGTCATACAAACATGGACAGGACAGTATGGAGCAATGGTGCTGTTGAAAAGGGTAGTTTTGAGAAACTTTAGATGAAGTAGAGAAGGTAACAGTGTTTTTTGCTGCACCTCATTCTGAGGAGGTACAGTTTCTTTATGCTTTTTCTACTGCTTCTCCTGCATATCCATACTTAGAAGGCAATTCAGGGTTGTAAACATAGCTATGATCCATTTGTTTTGCTCCGTATTTTTGTTTTCTTTTCTAAGAAATGAGTCTGTGTATCTGTGTTTAATGGCAACAGTTGTATATCCAAATATCTTTAAGATATTGATATTAAATCTCCCCAAATGATGTACAGAAATACTACTACTACTGCTTAAAGTAAAAGAGCATGAACAAGGCAAATTTAATAATTTTTCCATCTGAAGAAATAAAGATTAATTTCATAAGCCTCTTAAAACATGTAATTTTTGAAGACCGGACTATTATTTTCAAGGACTAGGAAATGGGTCAATGGGTCATGTCAACTGGATCTCAGGGGTAGTGTTCTCAGCCATTAGGGTTACAGAAATTCATTCTTAATATCCTGTTTGCAGGACCTACTATCTTCCCTGACTTATTATCACACTGTTAGTACGATTTGATGGTGCTTTTTAATGGTGATTTTAAACAAGTACAACTTAGTGATAAATTTGCTGTCTACCTGCCTCTTCTTCCAAATTTGGGATTAGAAATCTTACAGAAATCTTGGAAATCTGAAGGCTTCATTTAGAATTTTGTCTCTCATGCATAACTGTTAAAGTCACTGATGCAACTGATAATTTCTACTATAGTCACAATTTTATTTTTCTTCTTAATTGTAAGAAGTGCTGAGCCCCCCTTACATCACAAGTATTTGTGGGCAAACTTGAGTTGTGTGTTGGAGACAGAGGTCTTGTACCTTACCCATCCTTTCCTGCACAGCGGAAATCTTGGGGCTGATACAGAGATACCAGTGTTCAGTGAATCAAGTTCAGTCACTTTAAATGAACATAGCTTTCAAGGAATTAGCTCTACAAGAGGAAACAAGAGTGGATAATTTTACATTTCTGGCTCTTTTTTTCTCTCTCTCTTTTTTTTTTTTTTTTTTTTTTAATGTGGAGCATTTCCTCTTATTTCACACATTTGGCATATTGTCCAGTTAGTCCTCCTTCCTTAAAGGAGGACCTCTAAGTGTTGAGCACAAGTCAGGGTACAAACGTTTCTTCCTCTGCTCCAAGATTCTGTCAATCACAACAAATGATTGATCAAAGCTGGGATTTGAATTCAGATAATCTCTGTAGTAGTGATTGCTTAAGGGCTTCCTTCCTCCTTAATCAAAAAGACAAAGATGATAACTATTTTGTTTGGGAGGAATCCAGTTCCCTTCTGAATGCTTGACCTGCATTTCAGAGCCTTGCTCCGCACATACAAGACATGTATCGTGGTGTTCAGCTGCTATTCACACCATGCAGGTGGTTAAAGTGAGCTCCAATTTTAGGATGACTTTCAGAATCTGAAGGGTTTTCACTCCAATTGCTACACCAACCACACCCATTATCACCATGAGAGATACTTCCAACGAGCTCACTCAAAGCAGATATTTTAAGAACAGTTACAAAGGAAGTCTAATCTCTTTCTCCTCAAACTAAGACATTCTAATGGCTTGCACCTCTTCATTAGGCCTGCTTTATGTTTGTATTTTTGTTTTATGCTTGCAGCAGGGAAATAGAAGTGTACAGAAAGAATTTACAAACACTTCACCTTGGAAACATGTCCATACAATTGTGAAACAGCACATACTAGCACTTAGAGCCATTAACTAAAGTTGTCAGGCAGAAAGAATTCTCAGTGTTCTGCCTGTCTGGAATTGCTCACAGGAATATTGCATTGTTGTCTTCTAAGCTCACTAAGAGAAATTAAAAAATAAACATATTTTGAAAGAAAAACAAGGTTTTGAAAATCATCATGAAAAGTAATGAAGGCAAGATGAAACAGGAAGACCAACAAGAGGATTAGCTTTGCTTGCAGGAAAAATACAGTTTGGTTGGAGATATGATGCTATCCCTGTATATATGGGAACAAGGCTGGAGTACTGTCATGCCATCATGAGCTGGAACAACAGCAGTAATTCCTGTGCTCGTTCTCAAGCAAAAATAACATGGCAGCAACAGATGCTTTGATTGAAGGCTTTGAAATTGAAATGCTTCTTTTCATACAGTGTGCCATTGAAGTGAGATGTGGAAGTGACAGTAATTGTCAAACCTGGTATCCTAATGCCTCAGTGGCACCCTCCTGAAGGGGGACTAGGTAATGGAACTTTTAACAAACTGCATACATGTATATGGAGCTTGTTGAGATGCACCCACATGTGTAGAGAGATAGCTGACTTTTTTATTTTATGGTGGTAAGGGAGAGGCTTCTGAATACTGAAAGCTAGAATGTGTCCCTTCAGGAGAGCAAGAAGAGTGATCAGTCCAATGACAGACTGGTCAGCCTCACCTCAATCCCTGAGAAAGCTGTGAAGCAGCTAAGGGGGGGGGGGACAATCTCCAGACACATGAAGGATGTAAAGTTGATCATGAGCAAGAAGCACCGACTTATGAAGCAGAAATTATGCTTAACCAATGTGATAGCCATCTACAATGAGGCAACTAATAACATACAAGGAGAGAAGAGTGGATGTTGTTTACCTCAGCATAAGCAAGGTGTTTGCCAGAGTTTTCCATTAAATCCTCACAGATAAGCTGACATGGTTACATAAGCAGGCTTGGGGCTCCCTGTGTGGTCAGTGGCCTGAAATCCAATTGGAGGCTAGCCAGTAGTGGAATACAACAACCATGGATATGAGGGCAATATAGTTTAACCTTTTCACCAATGACCTGGATGATGGGTCAGAGATCACCCTCAGAAAGCTTGCAGATGACACAAAGCTGGGAGGAGTGGCTGATATGGGTGTAGTGCTGGTCAGAGGGATCTAAACAGGTGAAGTGGGCAGCCGAGAATGTCATGAAGTTCCACACACTGGAATTTCACACAGATGCATGCACAGTCCTGTCCCTGCGGAAGAACAATCCAGGCACCCATGCACACTGAGGGCTGAGTGTCTGGAAACCAGCTTTACTGAGAAGCACCTTGGGGCCCTTCCTGGTGTACACCAAGCTGACCAATAGCCAACAATGCACAGCAAAACAGGCCAGCAGTATTCTGGGGCAAGTTAGGAAGAGCATTGCCAGGCAGACTGAGGGAGGTGATACTCAGCCCTGCTGAGAAAGGTGAGCAGAAGGGATTTTAAGTATCTCCACTCTGCAGATGTTGACAGTTAATTCATGTCCTCTCAGTCTGAAGTCATAGCATAAAATGAATAAAAGATTGTCTGGGTAGAGAGATGTGTGTTACTGAATTCATGTCCTGACGTACACAACGTACACACAGGAGCTTCAGTGAAAAAACATTGTCTGGTAATTAAACTGCATTAAAAAAAAATATATGTGTGTGTGTGTGTGTGTGTGTGTACATACATACATACATATATATTTAAAGAGTTAAAGGAAAAGTTATTTTCATTTGAAAAACTATGTAAGGGTACAATTTACACAGCTCACTACTAGGAGTGAGTTAATAATGTTCCAGAGGGAGATGAAATGCTTTCCACACAGCTTACCACTCTGGATCTATACAGTTCTTTTCAGCCATGGGTACTATGACTGCTATCAAGGAGCATATGGGTGAATTGTTAAGAGAAGGAGTGAGTGATGAGATTCTTACACAGAAACAGGTTATCTGAAGATCCTTCAGTAGAACAAGGAAGAGAACTGCATGCTGGAGAAAGGGGTTTCATGACAGGCATCTCCTGGGAATGCAGAAAAAACCTGTAAGCTTTACCATGCTACCTTACAGAATCCCTACCAAGGAATAAAACCTTCCCCTGCCCTGAGAGAAAGCAAAGTCAAAGCAATCTGTTTATTCAGTCTGCAGCTTTTTTCCATTGTACATTGCAATATGTTATTCTAGCACAAGTGGAATTCAGGAGATGATCTATCTGGCTGATGGTTTGACTGGTGAGAATATTAGACTTCAACTTAATCTCTGCAAATAATGGCCTTTCTCTGGAATAGCTGAAACTCTGACAGGAAGGAAGAGACTTTAGTGGGAATTTCCCCTAGATAACAGCCCTTAGTTTATAGTAATCCCATTCCATTATCTCTAAATATTCTAAACATATAGAGCAACACTATTCAGTATGCTGAATTAGCAAACACAGTGCTTTCTGCACAAATCTTCAATATTTTTAGCTTACAGATCTTTTTATATTCAAAAAGATAATCATAGATTTGAAGAAATTTAGTGACAAAAATACAGAACTATTTTAATGGACTCAGAACATTTCCTAATAATTTCTCTACTGCAGTTTTATGAAGTGAGGCACAAAGTCCACCTCTTTTCTGGAAAACTTTTCTAAGAGAGCAGAACAGCTATAAATCCAGATCCCACTACTTTTTTGTAGTATCTTTCTATAAGACTACTAGCTTACTGTTCAGCTAAGATTTCTATCTATAGTCAACTGTGCTATTTATATTTGATCAGGACTAGCTTACAATATACCAGGTGAAAGAAATGATCAATAAGCAGTTTATAAAATACATTACATGTAGAATGTGAGACAAATATATAAATGGATTTTTTTTTAATCTAAATGTTTTCTGAAATTTTGGTATCATGAAGCACATTGTTAGTTTCTATTTAAACCCTGTTTTTATTCTAAGTTGAAACTTTTCCTTGTGGATTTTTGTCAGAGCTTTCATATGACACTGCTGCTTGAAACTGGAGGGAAAAACACATTGCAGATAATACAAATAAGTTTCTCTGCTATTTCCTTTACTGGTGAATACTACAGCAGTAAAATGCTTCCCATAAAATCAATGTTAGCTATGTTTCACTACCTTTTATCAGAGTTTGCTCTTTATAATTACATTTTAAAAAATAAGAAAGTTAAGTCTCCATTAGGAAATGAAAATTTGCTGGCACTTGTTTTATTGTAAGATTTTACACTATGAAGCAATTTTGACTTTAAAAGATGCTTGTCATCATTACATGCTTTCCTTGCTTGGTATAAATTGCTATATATTGGTATGGTATGTTGATGTTACCATTTATCTTATTATGCACTTAATTTAAGATAATGCATATGACAGCGCGTCAAGCAGTCCTGTTCTGTTTGACAGGGGCAAGACTACAAGGCAATTAGATATTCAGGGTGTAAAGCAGACTAAAATTTCACATTTGAGATGCAATTCAGCAATGGGCCTTAGTAACTCATTGGGCAGTATTTCCTTTTTGTTTCTAAAATTCAGATGTTTATTTCTAAAAATTTTAAACAGTGCAAAAGGAGAGATAGTATTAAAACCTGTAACTTCTAAAAACCTGGAAAAATAATTTTAAGAATATCTTCCACCCTAGTGGTGAATAAATTATCTCAGTAGTCCAGCTTTCCACGTGGCCTTTGCACATCTCTCATTGTTGGTCCATTCAGGCAGGAAGGAAATGCCTGGGTTCAGTTCTTGGTGTTCTGTAAAGCTTCTATGAGAGCTTTGTTGTATTCTTTGACCAGCTTTCTTGAATTCTTCATTATTGGCTGGTAGTCACTCTCCTGACTTTTTGCTGCTATGACTGATTAAAAGAATTAAGGAAACAAACTGCCAGTATAAATATGAGCATAATCACAGATCACAAGGGAACTACAAGACCATACATTTCCTTCTGTGAAAACTGTCAAGGGATGATAATAGTGGAAAAAACTCATACCAGGGCTAATAATAATAATAATCTACACTTATTTACTAGCTGCCATCTCACGACAAGCACTTTAGGAAAAAGGAGTGAATACATACCTAAGGCACTTTTGTTCATATATATATGTAGGCAATAAGTTCCTCAGGCAGGACTGCTTATTGTTACATTGCAAACGAAATCACAGAAGTCCCAGTCCAAGAAAGCAGCCCCACTCCAGTAGCCCAAGATTTAAGTACTCTGTATAAGGGTCTGCAGTTGGATAGTCAATGTTTTATACTAAGTTAGGAGATACTTTAATATCCTGATCAACTTGTTTTCTTGGTTTTAAAGTCTTTTCTGTTGAGAAAAACTGTGTTTAAGAGTATTGCCTTAATAAAATATTCTTGTAGAGCCTCCTTCAAAGAAGAGGTGGCTCCAAACTATATTACACTAGCCAAGACTTTTTCAGATATTTTTCTAGGAATTAGAGCATGTAGCAGATTTGAGAAATGGGATATTTGGTATTTGCAGAAAACAACATTATATGTATACATGTACAAATAGCTATATGTATGTGCATTTATTACTAAATAATTATCATCATCATCAGTATTATTTCTGTGATGGCTAGCCTAACACAGAATTGCCTGAAATACATCCCCATGCCATTTTCATTGCTCAACACACTACACTAGATGGTGGAGTCTAGTTTTGATGTTACCTTTACCAATTGCATTTGTACTGTAATCATGTAACAGTGATTTTGTGCATCTTAGAGATTTAAGATTTTTTAAATAACAACTTGTTTCTTAAATAATTTTAAATAAGTAATTTTATTGCAGTGAATTCACTGTCCTTATAATATAAAATAGAAGCACAGCCTGGTCCTATTCAGATCTCTATAATAACTAAGCAGAAAAACAGAAAAATAGTACTGATGTGAAGAACCATCGTTTGTTTAATTAAAACAAATTTCAGTGCTTTTCCTAATTTCAAAAACTATCTTATGAAAGCCAGTTGCAAATCAGCAAGTAATGATTTTGCAGACATGATTACTGAAATGCAACTTGTTAATCTGAATTCCATAGAGAGCTACAAGACAGTTCCCCCACCTCAGCATGTTTTCAAACAATGTTACACTGGCAGACTAATATCAGTTAAGACTGAAGAGATGTGAAGATAAACTTTATATGTAACCTTGCAGAAAACCTGAGAAAGAAGGAAAAAGTCCAGACTGCAATGCAAAGCTTATGTTTTAGGACTCTGTAAAACTCCTTCAGACAACACATGCAAGTTTCACTATATATAATATCTATCAGCTAAGCAGATATTTGCAAAAGATTGCCTTTCCCCTTCTCCCCTGTCTTTTGCAGCCCATTCCGTCCTGTCTTGTTCTGCTGGAGGAAACAGACTACTTCCTCAATTAATACAGTGTGTGAATTTGACTCTTACTTCTTAAAGAAAAGGATACACTCCTTCATCATAAAGTTATTTTGCTCATGGTGCTGCCACTTCCTCTCCAAATTTGTAAGCTGAAAACACAAAACCACAAAAAGTGCCAAAAATTAAAATGGTAATAATTACACATATATTTACATAAATAATTTTGTATCAGTACCTTGTACTCTATCAACTGATAAGATCAAAGTTATTTCACATAAAAACCACAGAAATGAGAAACAATGGCAAAATGCTTTTAAAGCTGCTGCTGATTAGCCTGCATATATAATTTAGTACTTCATAATTCATCTGCATAAAAACACTGTATGCAACTGCAGCAACAGATGAAAAAATCAGATGAGAATTCAAGATTTGTTATATAAAAAAGTTAACAGGCAAGTCAGAAGTAAAAAGGTGAACAATTCAGGGAGATACTAATTCTAATTATGCTCCATATCATTTAGATGGATCTCTTCTTAGAATCAGTAAAATCTAAAATCACAGAGATACAATATTTCCTGACACTGTCTTGGACTTTGCACTACACAGAAGAAACTTCCTTACTTCCATAGTTAAGTTTCCTGTCTGATGCCAGAAGTTGTGATAAGAACAGAGCTGCAACAAGAAGATTGTAGGAGTGTGGGTTCAGCGCTGGCACTTCTTCAATACTTTCAGCATCAACAGGAAACTAATGTGGACATTATATTGATGGCTGCTTCCTTACAATACAATTTTATATTTGTTTTTCTGATGCTACTGTTCAAGGTTCTGCATTTCAAGATATGAAGATGTTATTTTTAAAAGTAAAACTAAAAACCATTCTGAGACTAAACTTTAAGTGGAAACTGAGGTAATAAATAAAGAAAATATTGCAGTATAAGCTTTCCTTTAGCTGGAAGAGATGAAAATAGAAATTCAAACTTTAACAGTAAGAATCAGTTTATTTAGTGTACTAGTTTGCAGGAAACAAGGCAATCATTTGTTTCCAAGATTAGGTATTTCTGGCTAATTAGAATTATTACTGTCCTTTTGGTAGACATTGCTGCACATAACACAGCCAGCAAAGGAGCCTGGAACTGAAATACATGTTATCTTGCACAGAGAAAAGGAAAGATTCAGTGTATTTTTACAGTAACTGCTTGAAGACCAGCTGACCTCTTGCAAAATTGCCCAAGTCTTCCACATTTATGAACACTATTTGTGCTTCAAAATGCTTGACAAATGTCAAATAATCAGCTATTATAAGACATACCTTAATTCACCCTCATTTTTTTACACTCGGGGCATAAAAAGTAAAGGAAAAAATCCTTTTCATCCACATAAAAATAGAATTGCCACAGCTTAATGAACTGAAGAAATTACATACAACTACTATTTTGTATGAAATGCTTAGACTTATTATGCAAGTGACTTAACACTGTTTGAGTATGCATTTCTAATTGACCTAAACCCTAGAATTTGATCTTGGCAAAAAAGATTCACAGTGTCTGAAGTCTTTCACATGTTTGCATGTAGCTTTGAGGATTTGTATCATCAGCCTAGAATGATTATCATAACCCTATGCTACAAAGGAACACATATGTCTCAGTCAGAGCTATGTCTTTTCATCAGCTCCGCAACATTAATTTCAAAAGAAAGTTAACTTAAACATGTGCACTATGACCTTCAGCTTATAACTGTATTAGCAAAAAATAACAGTTCTAAAGGACAAATATCTCAAAAACATAAATCAATAAAAAACAGTGAAATGCATTTAAAAAATCAGTTTCCCTTTCCACCTTATTTTAAGGCTATCTATTTTTCTTCTGTGCATTCAAATGTATTTACCAGTAAAGTTCTGCTGCCAAAATGACAGCAATTTATGTGTGTTTATAATGAAAGAATAGAAGCCGATCAAGAAGCTATAAATGTCTTTCCTGATTCACTTTTGAAATACAAATATACATATATACCAATGTTGTTTAAATGTGAACAGACTCTAAAACTTCAGTGGCCTGCAAGGAGCAGAACTGGAAAAAGGAAAATGGAATTAATAGTACAGATTTAAAGGAAAAAAAAACTCACCACGACTTTAAAAGCAAAAGAGATCTTAGCTAATTAGCAGTGACCTTTCTCTTCCCTGCAGTTTCTTTCTAAGTTCGTCCTCAAACTACTTAAGCAAAGGAAGGGCAGAAGGTAGAGAATTCTGAGCAAGATTAACACAAACACTTAAACAAAGGACTCACATAATTTTTAGCTCAGAAAGATTTCTGCTAATAATCCAAAGTTTACAAGCCATTTGTTGGCACAATATTACCTTTTGTTTGAAAACAGCAAATACAGTTACACACTTACAACACATGACTTAGAAAACTCACTGAGAAGGAACAAACAGATTCTGCCTGTACAAAGCTTCATGTGTATGAGAAAGCCAAATCCAAGAAACAAACAACTGAAGGAATAATATGTAACTTGACCTATACCTGAGCATGGGTCTCATTTTCTTGCAGCTCCTTCTTTAGTGTCTCATACTCTGTATTCAAATGCTCCATTATTTTCTTAAAAGCACGACTTCGTTTTGTTAATTTTTCTTTGTCATCCTCGAGTTTCTAGTTAGGGAAAAACCCAACACAAACTGATTAATGGATGAGTTCATTTGATGTGGGCTTCAAGCACATTACTTCAATTTATCTTTTAAGATGCTACTTTTTTTCCTTTTAGAACAAGATCACATGCATATGTGTAAAGGACTCAAATGCTTTTCTCTAGCACTGCATGCTCTATCCCAAAAACAATAATCAAAGATTATGACCAAGCTGTATGCTTAGAAAACATTGTATGAACACTAGTGGGAATACTGTTATTAAGAATTTGTAGGAAATTCTCTTTTGTTTGTGTTCTGTGTTAGATTGCTAAATTCAAAGCTATGGGCAGTCATAAATTGCATAAGAGTTTAGCTGAATCACTAAAATAGAATGGGGAGATTTTGTGGAAGGCAGTTATTAAAAGATATCCAGCTGAATACCTCTACATGTACCCAGTTAACAAGCCACACATATAAGCAAAATAGTATTTGGATTAATTTGCACTGATGTGCAATCCTGTTTTTCAGCTGTCAGAAGGACTGCCAGTCACAAAACTGGATTGCCCTCCACTAACTGTTCAAAAGCACACACTTTGTTTCATCCCTTTCATTACCTTTTTCTTTTCTTCTCCTGATGCTTTCAGAGCTGGCAAATTATTGTAGATCTCCAACTCTGCTTTTGTCTGTTCAATTTTGTCCTTAAGAGAAGCTAGTTCACCAATCATCTTGCCCTCCAACAGTTCCATCTTCTGTAGGTCCAGCTGCAGTTTTTGACTCTCTAGATCACCAGAAACACAATCTCTAATTAACAGTACTTTTTGTTTCAAAATACACAGCCCATTACATAAACATTTATGCTATATTTAACCAATATAAACACTTCTGATTTTTTGTATTTTTGGGAGTTATTAATGTGAAGGAAACAAAAAATTTGATCTTCACCACCATGCCACAAGTCAGACTCACACACTACAATTACTGTATTATAATCCATAAGTGAGGAGTAATGAAAATATAATGATATGTATCACAGTGTTTCTACTTGTAATGTTTATAGCACCATGCAATTAATTGTAGCACCACAATCTTAAAGCAGTGGTGATAACTTACAAAAAGTTTATTGCAATGCAATAGAAGTGCAGACAGAACACAGACAAACCAAAGAAGTATTTTTATGAATTTTTAAGCATCATCTTCTTTTTATTTGTGCTGATTGAATATGGATAAGACTTGGTTTTAGGACAACAAATAGTGAAACTTGCAGTAAACATTTGCTTTGTAGAGGAAAACGTATTCATATATCCTTCCTATATTCTTCAAAAAAGAAGCGTCACAGCTTACAACATCAACATAGGCTACAATATATAGCATTTACTTCTGAGATGCCATTAAAAACATAGCAGACTTATGTAATTAAAAGAATTAGAATTGTGGGTGGATTATGACATAAAGAGGACTGTAAAGACTGAAACTGTCCAGACATGTGGAAGGGAAGAAACTATATATATACACAAAGTAATAAAAGTACTTTAACTCAGTCTTGGGTGAAGTTACTTACCCAGAGTCAGGAAGCACTAGATGTTGGCTAGACTTGGTTTGGATGGTTTTGTGATCTGACCTGTCATTGTATTTCATTCACGTTCCTGAACTCTGAACACATAGCTATATCATCTTATGTTTCAGATCTGTGTCTAACTCAGGAGAACAACAGAGATAATGCAGTTTTCTTCCTACATTCCAAAGTATCAGGCAACATGGGCTATTGAGAGGGAAGAGACTGCACAAAAAACCTTTTCTTGGCATATGTTTGCATCTTGAGATTTGTGCTGATCTGGTGAAAAAAGGAGAGAAAATTTCCTCCCAACTTAATCAAGGCAGTATAAATCTTTAAGGCAGAAGAAAATAGGTGTGTCCATGGGATAGAAGGAGGGCTCACCTTTCCAAAAACTGTGGGTATAGTTCTGTCAGTGGACTTACATGGGAAAATCTCACCTGATCAAAACATTCAGAGCAAGATTTTGCAACTCATCTCTCTGCTTTGTATTTATGCCATTTACTTATATTTTATAGTGAAACACTCACTTTTATCAACATTTCTGGCATTTTACAGAGCACTTTCATGATTTCTTTAGGAACCTCAAAGTAAAAAAAAAGGACAGACCAAGATTTCTGTACCATTTGCAATTATCCTGAGGAAGGCTTATCCATAAGGTAAGATTGAAAGTGTCCTCTATGTGCAAGGAGCATTTATATAAATATGAACATTTCCCATGCAAATTAAAAGAAGTATTTTAAATTATAATATTTTTGATTGCTTCACATGTATGTAATTCACAGTCTGCTTTCCACTGCAAAGGACTTAAGAAAACACATTCAGTGTGTCTACAATATTTTATAACTGCTCGGTCTTTCACAATGAAGATTCTGGCACTGGTCAGTGACAGATTGTAAACCATAACTGAACAGATCACCTCTTTCCTTTCTTCTTCCTAGAGCACTGTGGTTTAAAGACAAATCAATAAATGAGAGTTTTAGATCAGAAACAGTAAAAAATAAAATTAAAAAATAGACTCAGATTGGAGAGAAATAACAGAAAACAACTAGAGATGTTCATGAGTATTTACCTAGGTCTGATCACAGCATTTTCACTTTTTATACAGCTGTTCTAATATCTGTATTTTGTTATTTTAAAATTATACATAGTTGACCAGTTGGAATTTATTTCACATTTATTTCATGTAAAGACTAGTGCCAACCCAAATGCCAAAAAGGCAAAAAAATTTATTGGACTGTTCTCTCGAATACAAGTATGATTAGACTGCAATGGATATTCCTATCCATTCACACTTTCTGGAGAAAAAGGACAAAACTGGAAGGGGAAAATTTTATCCTTATCCAGCAGCAGACTCAATGAAAAAATCTCAAAACTGAAAAAACCTCAAAATTCCTCTAGGGGAAGAGACAGGAAGAGGATGCAGACCAGTTCCTTCTGATAGGCCATGAAGTTGCAGCATCTAGCATGCAGTGTGTACACAGTGGCAAATTCTCAGAACAAATTACAGTTTTGACCCAGGGAAATGTTTTTGGGAAACTATGCCATCAGCACTTTTGTTTACCCTTCACAATTTCCTTTTCTTTTTTATTTTTTTAAGGATTCTGCTGGTGGACTTTTTATATCTTTGTTACGACAAGAAAGTGTGAAAATCCAGATTTTAATAATAACAAAAGAATTCTGAAGATGGCTGTGCTATAATTCAAAGATTAGAAGGAATTTCAACTGTGCAAATTGAGCATTCACTGTATTTCTGAAGGAATTGTGTTTGTTAAGCTATCTGTGAATCCCAGCTGTCAGAGATTTACTTAGGAATAACTAAAATTGTCTGCTGAAAATTATGTACTGTAACTTCCTCCTCTTCCCTTACAGAGAAAAAAATTTTTCTTTCTATAATGCCTCTATATGCATACTACATGCTTCCAAAACATCCTTATATTGGAAAATAGTCATAAATAATGCTTATATGGAAGAACAAAAAGTCATATTTGAACTTTTATAAATATAAGGCCCAAAAATTCAAACTACATTACAACTGCAAAATGAGTATTTGCAGATGAGCAAACACTAGTGTTAAATCACACAACAGAAAATCAATTTCTCTAAAATTTTGTGTCAAATAACATATTTGTTCGTAACTACTTTGAAGTCACAATACTGGCTCCTATTTTGAAAATTACTGTGAAGTACAACATGATACAGCCTTCTAAGAAAATGATTTATCATTCTTAATTCCTGCCCCTTCCTTTCAGCCAAACAGACAAGGAAAGGTTTGCTGAACCAATAATGATATTGGCAAAGACACAGAATTAAACAGTGCAAATAACGAACTAAAGAGATACTTCTTACAGGAATGAAATTAAACTACTGTCTGCTTTTTGAAATTACAGAGAACATCCTCAAGATGCTAATAAGTATTTGAGTGTTTAGAAAATAAAGTCAAAATGAATATTCACTCTGCAGAACTGAGCCTTGGGATTTGAGAGCTATTCACTGTTGTCAGTTAATTGCCTGTGATACATATCCATTTGGAAAAGCATAAACCATAGGTAAGTGATACTAAGAACTACATTTACAAATAATTCATGGTTAGATAAATGTGCAAGACTCTGTTTCCATTTATTAAACACTCTATCAAGATCATGGAAGATCTTGTTTTGAGGCAAGTATTAGTAAAATAAAATTCTAGCTCAATTCAACCCCTGTATTGAAATACATGGGGGATTATGGAAATACATGAAATGCATATATCTGTGCAAGGAAGATGATAATTTAGTGATAATAGTAAGGTAAATATAAATAAGTATACATACCTATTATAAATACATAGCATACAATATATAATAGATATAAATAAATAAATAAAACAAATAGAAATATATTGATGAAAATAAATAACTTGTTACCCAGAAGCATTTCAATTTGTGAACTTATCACTGTATTTTAATATTTGGAGATGACTTGATATCTAATATTCAGAAATCTTCTACATTATATCAGTGAAACAATGCAGGTAGTCTTTATTATTTTAAGGAATTAATTAGCAAATTCGCTGATCTCACCTGTAATCAGATTCTTAGCAGTGCTCTGTGATTTCTGCATTTCATTTGATTTGAAAGTGAGGTCTTCCTGCATAATCTTCAGCTCTTGATTGGTAACAGATGAAATTTGTTTCATATGATTCAGATTCTGTGTGTTACCAACAACAATGATATGAACATGCTGTATTTTTGAAACAACAACTGGTAAATGGATAAGTAAGAAACTCTCCTGTCCTATGACACTGTTATTTGGGTGATTTAAATGTGAATGACTTGCATTCTGCCAACTTCTGATAAAAGATGTATTGACAGGCCAGTACAGATGAAATAAATATGCAGCAAATATAAACTGTGCTGTCATATAGGTATGTTGTAAAGTAAGTGACAGCATCTGAAATATACTTATGGTATACTATATTGAAAGAGGTACGAGACAATTAAAATAATCATAGAATCAAAATATTACTCAGTTGAAAATTTTCTATAACATAAAAAATCCATGGGAGCCAAAAACATTAAAAAGAATACAAGTCTTGAAAGTGAGAATAATGGCAGACTGGAAATAGGACCAGTTTCTGAACTGCTACATTATTAATTTATAATATTTACATTAAATATTATGCATCAGGGTAGTTCAGACATAAGACATACTTTTAGTAGAGAGACAACTGAAATATTTTTAGTTCAGTAAAACTAGTGACAGAATACCCATGAACTGAGTTTTGCAAACTGTGGATAAACAAAATATTGCAGTAGTTTTATTTGCAGTATTTGGAAATGTTTATCATTATTAATGTTAGTTACAGCAGAGATGCAGTTATAGAAATTAGGAAAATATTCCTGTGTTCTGGTTACAATATCACACACTGTGCAAAACCCTTCCCCTAGAAAAAGAGAGAAATTAAACAAATCCATTTTTTAACTACAGCTGTTTAATGTTTAATCAGCTGTAGCTTAACATGTTTAATGTTAATTTTAAGAGATAATTATGTAGATAAATATAAATATATAAAATCCACCATCCTTCTTTATCCAGCCACTCTCCTGTTTTGTGCGTCTGAAGTCCTAGCTTGCCAAAAGAAGATGAAAATGCTACATGCTTACCCTGCTCGAGTGCTCCAGGAGTGCAACAATGCTGGCTTCTATTTGGGCCTTTCTTTCCAATTCCTGATTCTTCACATCTTCAAAAGTTGCTAGAAAATCTAGGGATTAACAAACATAAAAAAGAAGGCTTTTATGGCTGCAATGTTGTTTCCAGTCAAAGCTTTGTATTATATTGGAAGCAGTACAGTTTGTGATAGGTTACTGTAATTGTTTATTTAAAAGCCAGGTGGTAGAGACCTTGAAACTTGTCAGCTTACTGACCTTGTTTCATTTGAATGCTGTGTATTTCACAGATTCATAAAAACTCTTGAATGCAAGAAAGTGCAGGAGCTCATCAAATTAATTCACTTGCTCCAAGACAAAGCCAGATCTATGTCTGTAATTCAGATGTTTGTCTATATTCTTCACAAACAGAGCTCCTAATACATACTCTACAGTTCTCCTGAATAATCTATTTCAATGTTTGGTAAGTTTGATTGGTAGGAAGTTTTTACTAATATCCAAACTGAAATCTTTCTGCACCTAGTGGTATGTTACTCCTTTTCTATCCTCCATGCATATGTAGAAATAAATTATTCCATTATTATTTGAAACAGCCTTTTTACACATTTGACAACTGTCATAAATTTTCTAAAATAAAAGACAAATTCTTTTTATATCTCCTTGCAGGTCATGCTTTCTGCATACTCCCATCAGCTTTTTTGAGGACTGACAGCTCCCTTCTTTATGAGCAGAACTCCTATCTGAAGAATTTGATGCACAGGGAAAAAAGTACTTCAGATGTCAAAAAAAATTACACTCCAATGTACACCTACTGTTGTGGTATTTTCCTTGTTAGTTTGATACTGCTCAGCCACGTTCACTTTGTCTTTCACTCTCTGAGCCATACCACAGAGCTGTACCTAATGAATTGCTCCCTGCTCTGCATTTTCGCTGTTGATTACTCCATCCAAGTGTAGAAACTTACACTAAGTCGTTTCCAAACTTTTGTAATTGATTTCTAACATAACAGATGTATACTAAATTCTAACTACGTCCTCCAACGTGATTTCAGCTTTTCTGATGGACCATTTTTTGTAACTCTTCTGTCAGATACTCTCTCCCAATATCCAACTGATTAAGAAAATACTGACTAACCTGAACACACTGACAATCCAACACACTGCAAAACACCACGCAGTATATCCTTTAATTTTGGCACCGAATCTTTCAAAACTAATGATTTTTTTAACTTAATGCACAATATAGATTAATAATGGACAATATTTGCCTAGCTTGAATCTAAAAAGACCACAAGGCAGCAGAAGTTATACTGAAGTTAAAGGACATATAATCTGCTACACCTTCCTTTTTCTGCAGTATTTTTCTGACACAAAAAAAGGAAAAAAAATTGTTTGTACTTGACAAATCAATATTAGTGTTATTCATATTCCCATTCCTGTAACATTTACATATTGTTAGCTTGCATAGTTTTCCCAAATTATTTCTGGGAATTGATACTAATCTGACTGCCCTGTATTTCCCTGTCCCCTCTTCTTCTACATAGGCACCATATTTCCTCTTTCCCCATCCTTAAGACTCCTGGAATGTTCCCCCAAAGCTCTCAGGTCTCAGGTCCCCCAAATCACTAACTGGTCTAGAACTTTAGCAATAACCTTTAATGAAGGGTAGAAGCAGAACCAAAACCCAAAAAGTCAAGCCCTGCAGACTCCATCTGCATTAATATGGAAAATCCAGATCAAGTGAGCTTTTGTCTCTGCTTCTCAGGAAACCTGGCAATTTGAAAACACAGAAACTTGCTGTGTTTTCTTATTAATCTTCTTTTATTATCAGCTGAGACCTTTCTCTCAGTATCATGATAGCCATAAGTTATATAGAACATTTTTGGAGAACACTTTAAAACAGGTATTATATCCCTTGAACCTCCATGGCATGTTTACTGACCGTTATCCCTTTTGCTGAGTAACAGACCAACTTTTTTGGTAAGCTGTTTCCTACAGTATGAAAGGAATGATATATACTTAAAGTCAGTTGTTTTCATCCTCTGTTAGTTGCTACTGAAGTCTCTACAACATTAAAACTTTATGACATGTAACAAAGCTTTAGAAACATTTATCTTGAGTAAATAGATATGAGAAGTTCTAATTTTATAGAATTACATTTTATCTACAGTCTTCCATGCTGAAGTTCTGCTTTAATCACTCAATCCATTAATTACAACTTTGCTTTCATAAAATAAAGTTGTGTTTCTAAGACATTTAATGGTTGATAAAAAGTCTTGAAAGATGCTCCGAATATTTGTGACTGTCATGTAAGGTATCAACTATCTTGTCTGCATAACAAGACTACAGAACTTCATGCAAAGATCAGCACACCAGCTCTTTGCAGATATAAATTAACTTTTTTAACAGTAAAACAAAAGCTCTAATTTAGTGAAATTAGGCTTAATTATATATATATATATATATATATATATATATATATATCTACACATACACAATATTAGGTAAATAATATTAGACAACTTACTGTCCATGCTCTCTTCCCTCTTCTTCAACTCCTTGTATTTCCAATTTTCTTCCCCTACAAGACATGTACCATTGATTTAACTTCATATTGTCTCAGGCCTGGATTCCTTCATGAAGGTAAAATGTCTGTCACAAAAATAAAATTTCTACATGCCTAGGAACTACAGGATTCATCCTATTTCATTTAATGTAGTCAGTTCAACTAACTATATTATATATATCTTTATATTAAAAAAGAAGATACCATAATGAATCAGCCTCAATGCAATTTTGACAACCTTTCAAGGTTACAACTTCTGATAGATAGGAGAGAGATAAATACTTGGTTTGGGCAAAGGAAATTCAAACGGGTTTCTGAAGTTAAGTGAATTTCAATAATGGAGAACAAATGCTTCTTTGTATTTGGGCACCAAGATTAGTTAACAGTTTCTGCAGCCCTGTTTAATGCATGAGCCACTTCAATTGCACTTTCACCTTTCATAAGAATATGCAGCTTGCAAGTGATAATCTCATGGAAATAAACAGGAGAACTGTACAAGCAATGGTCTAGGAAAACAAAATGCACAGAAAGCTTTCTACAATTAAGTTGGAAACATTTCCATATACCTTCAATTTACTGGTATTAGAAGTAAGGAATAACATTCATAGACACCCTGCTTTTAAATTCAACTACTCATTATAATTAACTCATAATTTGTAAGTATTAGTAAAGTGGGACACCTGATACATCTGTCACAAGAAGATGAGACAATTCATTTCCTAGAAATAATTTTAAGTTTCAAACATCTACATTTTTAATTGAGTTAATGACTTAGCCTGCTCTACTCTTCAGAATTCCAGTAATGGTGAGCCATGAAACAGAGTTACATAATCTGTCAATTGTTAATAGAAAAAATATTTGAAGTCCACAATTTTGAGATGTCATTTCAGTAAGTTTTCTTTCAAATACACCACTAATACACAACTCTCTTAACCTCATCTTCAATGTATGAAGGGTTAAGTCTGTTGCATTATGAGTTAATGCTGATGACTACTCATTAAAAGTTTACTGCTAGTATATAGGCCAAATAATATGTGGGTGAATTATTTACTTATATAGATTTTTTCCAGTAAAACCTAAAAATAGTTATTCCAGCATCGTACGTTTAGTCTTTTTCCGGCTCAGAAATATTTCTAACACTGAAATACTTATCCTAAAATATTAAATAATCCTTTGTTAAAATGTCTGCGTTTTTTTTTTTTACTGGCTATTTCACCTGATATTTACTGATATTGGAGCTGAATTTTGGGAATGCTATGTAATAATGTTTAAATACTGATCCAGAAGTAAAGTCACTGGGGTGGAAGAGAGCACAGGAATTTCAAGGACACACCAAGACACTGATTTAGAGCAGAAGTATGAATGGCCCTCTGTGATCTTCTCTCCATTCACTAGGGAAGGCAGCACTGGCAGTATACATTTCTGTGTCTTAAAGCTACTCTTTATGAGTATCTTTAGTCCCTCTGTGTTACACAAAGAGGTATAATTACCTCTGTATTATACCTCTAAGTAACTTGATTCTGAATATTCTGACTGGTTCTGATATGCTGTCAAAGAACATGTGCTTTTTCCTACATATGCTTCAAACTCTTCTTCAACAAATTTATTTTTCTAAAACAAGAGACAGTCAAGCAACGAATGACTGTGTGGGTGCACTAAACTACAAAATGTAAAAAGCAACTCACTTCTTACCTTCTGTATTTCTCCAAAGTTAAAATAAAAAAATAGTTGCAAGCCAAATAAAAAGGAAAAACTGAAGAACAATAAAGTTTGCAATGATATTATCTGGAAACACAAAGCTAATAAAGCAGTCTTAATTAATTATTTCCAAAAATATGAAGTATCTGTAGAAATATGAAATATTTTGCCATGCAAAAGATGATAAACAGATGTCTGAAACATTTGCTTAGAGGCAGATTTTTAGTTATTTATTCAACTGGAATAAACTTACAGCTAGATTTTACGTTGATTGCACAAGAAAAGGCATAAAGTAAGAAGAACATAATTCCTCAATCCTACAGAAGTTAAAAAATTTGTAAAGACTTTCAGAATGCAGGCATATATTTATCTAATTCCTATCTGACCAAGATTTCTTACAATCAAAAGAAGGTTTTCCTTTGCATGGATCTTCCTTTTATCTATAACCTTTTACAGCTTTCTTAGGGCCCATGCTCAAACTGAAGTTACTTCCTCCAGAAGAGAAAGTAACCACAGAACCACAACTTCCAGTGTTAGGACAAATTCCAAACTAACCTAACCTAAGCATCAGCAGCATGTGTTTGCTGGAGGTCAGTGTAAGCTAAGGCCATTACCAGGCAGCTTACAAACTCTTCTTGCCAAGATCAACCCAAGAAGTTTCAAAGACAGATAAAAATAATACTGAACTCAGTCTACTTTACACATTGCTATTAAATATCCTCAATTCCACATTTGCTGACAGTCTAACAGATAATGTAAAAGGTAAAATTAATTAAAGCATTTCTAAATAGGAGATTGTTCTGCAGTGCTTCCAGTAAGTTAAACTTCTATTCCCCAAAAAATATTAAAAACAAAATAAAACAGAAAACCAGACAGCTGTCCTATTATTTTATACATGAACTTGTTGAAAGTACCACTAAAGGTGGGTACTCCCCATTTGTTATGCCTGAAAAGAAAAGGCTGTACCTGTAGGCACAGAACTTCTCATGTTGATGAGTTTTCACTTACTGCATAAGCCTCAAAATTTTAAGCAACTCCTAGGTATAACAGTTTGCTATAGAACAATCAGATGCAGCTCTGCATAGTCTGCTACACTCTAATCATATTACCTCGATGGTTCTCCAGATCTGTATCAAGTCGTTGAATGACCTTTTTAAAATAATCTATTTTTTCTTTTACTTCTGCCAACCTAACAAATAGATAATGAAAGTCAAGGTTAAAACTGTGTTGTAAAAGACTTACTTTATTTTAGACAAAACTGAAAAGTCAAGAATAAAAATAGAAACTATAGATTTAATCAAACCTGAAAGAATAACAGGATTCTTGTTATTATAAAAGGTATATGTAAATAATCTGTCACTTAGTCCTCTGTTTATTAAATAGAAGTTCTGTAGCTCCTCTTTATTAAAAAAACAATTTTTGTTGAGTCATCAGTAATTCTCAACTTACTCAACTAGTCCCTCTGCTGGTTGCTATTCTTAGAAGTACAACATAACTGTTGTACCTCCAAAGAAGTACAATATAACTGTTAAACAGCAATAACTGTATTTAGAAAAATCCACTAAGAAATTTTGAAATAAATCTCTCTGCTATGCAATCAATCAAAGTGTGAAATGAAACTACCTTTAACATATTTCTACATAAAATCTCAAATATAATTCTTTGTTATTGTTATTTATTAAAAAAATCTGTTAAACAACTCATTATCCAATTAAAATGCATTAAAAATTAACAAATAATTATAGTTGGAAATATTGCTTAAAAGAATTTAATATTGTTTCTAAGAGATTTTATTAATTATCTCAGTTTTTCTTTCAAGAAAGAGAAACCAAAAGGCTCAAAACCAGAAAATATTGTACTTTTTTATCTCCCCCTCAACACATTACTATTTATTATAAAATTTACTTGACTTTCTGGCGAGTCTTTGGAAAGACCCAGTACCTAAGAATCAAGAAGCAATGCCCTACTACGCTTTAGAATGGAACTTCTGTAACTCTTAGGCTTTAAGAACACATAAACAAACTTAAAAATGTGACTGCAGTGTAATAATGGTTAAATTTCATAGCTGTCTCAGAGGAGCATCTCTTACAAATCAATGTCTTCTTCAGCCTTAAACAAGTTTAAATTAGTGCTATTACAAATCTATATTCTCAAGGCGTGTTCCTAAGGGATGGAAGTAAATGTCTTATCACTACAAATTTGTTTACCTGAAACAGAAGAACATATTCTATTCTCTGTGGAAGGTTAGACTAGTACAGGTTTGAAGATGTGGTGATGTTCTAAAAAGTCTATAGAAATAGACTTTGTGAAGGAACACAACCATATGTCTTTAGGGTGTACATGTAATTTATAGCAACAGTATAATGCAGTTACTCACTGTCTTTCCATGCTTGCAATTTTTTGACTATCATCTTTAACCTACAAAAAAGTTCAACAACTTTAATATATGAAATTAAATCTACAAATGAAAAAAGGAAAATTATAAAAAAATCTGAATTCAAAATACAGAGAATAGAAAATTAGCACTTGAAATCACAAATTTGTGACACAGTCCAATAAAAAGTGAAGATTTAGGCATTATGTCTTCCAAGTGGTTAAAAATCATACTTTAAAAAATGAATACACTTACCATTGGTCATTCAGACCAATAATCTATAAAGTATCAATGGTCAGTTACAATATAGGCCATTGTAAACTGATCCAATTACTCCTGGACTAGTCTACCTGTTCAGTACCTCACAAGGTCTCTGGAGTTAGGTTACAAGAGCTGTTCAACTGGATAGTTTTCCCAACCAACATGAAAACCTCAAAATACCAAATTTGTTTTCTTAAAATAATAGAATGGTTTAGGTTAGAATAGACTTTAAAGATCGCCTGTTTCCAACTCACACTTCCTTCTACTCCCCAGTCCTGCCATGGGCAGGGATGCCATCCACTCGATCAGGTTGCTCAGGGTCCCCATCCAACCTGGCCTTGAATGCTTCAAGGGGTGGGGCATCCACATATTACAGTACCTCACCATCCTCACAATAAAGAATTTTGTCATAACATCTAGTCTAAATCTTCTATCTTTTAGTTTAAAAGAGTTTCCCCCATCCTATAATTTTCTGCCTGCATAAAAGTCACTCGTCCACTTTTTTATAAGCCTTCTTTAGGTAGTGGACTTTGCTATCAGGTCTCTTCAGAGCTTTCTCTTCTCCAGAATGAACAGCTCCAACTCTCTTATCTTGTCTTCATAGAAGACGTGCTCCAGACCTGAGATTATCTTCACAGCCTTCCTCTGAACCCACTACAATAGTTTTGGCTGGACCTGAAATATCCCAACTATTTTTAATGTCAGATTATTTGCACTGCCTAGAGGACTGATAAAGGCAAAGTTCAAACCTAAGTATTTTCAAGTATTATCACCCCAAATAATGCTGGCTTGGAGAATCTATGACGTAACAACATTTCCTATTCTTGCCTGCTTTAGTAATCTCTCTCTTTCCTCCTGTGGAGACTCCATGTTCTTATCCTCAGCAATCATTCGATCTCGATGTTCCTTAAGCTCATGGAGCTTTTCATACAACTGCACAGCTTCCTGCTTCACTGCAGAGTGTGCTATTTCCTGTTGGGAAAAGCAAACACCTACTAGCTGTTTTCAGATGGGAAGAGACCATTGTGGCAATCATGTTTTAGTTAAGCAACACTTACCTATACATTGCCAGTGAAGCTTATTTCTTACAAAAAGCACAGAGACAGTAAAAAGCACTTTATAAAGTACTTTATAAAAAGTAAAATTCATAATCCATATTGTCAATATTTCATTTTCTGGAATAGAATATCCCAATCAGTTACTTCTTGATTTACAAGTTCCTCCTTGGGCCAATTTTCTGAGGAGATTTATTACTTCACAGTTGCAGGGGATTTCAAACTATGTACAACATTCAAAAGGACTGAAAAATATCTAGCAGTATTTGAAAATTATACTTTCTGACCATATGCTTCAGGTCATAGATCCTTTTATTCATGAAAGACCCAGTATGATAAAAAATTCCCTCAATAAGATATTTTTACCCAAAACTGATTAGAAATTATTAGTGGAAATCAGAAAGGCAGATTTGCCTTCCCATACTAGAGCATGATCCTACAGTATCTGAAAATTTAAGGAAAAGAAATTACGCATATTTTTTCAATTGTATTATTCTTTACACTAGCATTCAGCGAAGGTTAGTATAGAGACCACTTGCTATCATACATACAGCTCTTAGACTCTCTTCCTTCACATTTAGTGCATCCAATTCCTGCTGTTGAACAACCAATTCCTAAAGAGGAAGCAAAATGCAAAATTCAGATAAATATTACTACTTAACTAATTTTTTGATCTAAACTTTAGTATGTATCAAATACTGTAAACTGTCCCATTGCTGCTCTTAAAAATTTGAAACACAAGACACTGTCCAGCTCCTTCACATAACTCAGATGTAGTAAACACTTGCTTTCAGCATCCAACTTTTCCATTACTCTTATCATTGTTATTTGCAGTTGGGCTACTACCAAAAAATTGTTTGCACTTTTTCTACTTCTTTTTTTTTTTTTAATCAGTACCACTGATAGAATTTACTATCTGTATTTCAGGAGTTTGGAGTCAAATTTTAAAATCTGAATCGCGACAGTTTCTTCATAGTCCAGAAAGAGACAGGTAAGCCCTGACTACTGATTCAGCTCATTCTAAGACAGATAGGAAACATGGAACTCCTCTCTGTACAGACCATACAGAGGAACTTTTAAGACACTATGCTTGAACTAGATCATCCCAGGGAGCCTAGAAGTGCTACTCCTGTTGTTAACATACAGATTAGTGAAGTAACAAACATTTTATACAGCCCAGTTATTTTTTTTGGATACATTCAGACATGCACTAACAATAATAACAATAACAAAATAATAATAATAATAATATTAGAAAAAGCTAGTCAGATTCACTTTTTTACACAAGAAGAAAACATTCTACTCAAGTGAACTACAAAAATTGCTGGGGTTATTTTTCCTTTTCTCCTGCTTTTTACACATGATGAAACATCTAAGTATCCCAATGGCTTTTAAAAACTGCATGTCAAACCCTAAATTCAAACAGAAAATTGTGAACATTATTTCTTCCTAAAGCATGAAATACAAGAAGGCAAAGCACTTGGTCTCAGTCAATTGCCTAATTTCCAGGTACTTCTACAATTGATTAAGATACCAGCAAGCTTTTTTATTGTATTACTCTGTTGTCAATTTCTTCAGTATTTAAATTTTATGTAAACCCCAAAAAGCAAGTTTAAGAAATATTTTAGGTAAGCATAATGGAACAAGCCAACCTGGGAGAGCTTCTCATTAGCAGCTTTTATCTCCAGATATTTAGCCTGATTTTCCTGTGACATGTCTTTCATTATGTCATCTGCCACAATCTTTTCACGCTCGATATCTTCTTCTACAGCTTGAATTAACTTTTCTGTGCTGTAAAAATATAATGTTTTTGTAACTTTTACTGGTAAATACACATTGTAAACACTTATTTCAAACTCCAGTACTCCTTCAGCTTCACTGACATGCTCAGTGTAACAGAAGAAGCCTAGATGCTATAAAAGGGTGTTACCAACTTGTATCCAATCTTCTTGGAACTGAATTAGCAATACACACGTTCACAAAATGTAGAGAAGATAAAGAATTGTCTGCCTTTATAATACCCACATGGTATTTTCCAACACTCCCATACTGTCTATCTGCATTGGTCTCAACACTTGCGAAAGTATGGTACTACCTCTCAATCAGGGAATTTCTAGAGTAACAACAAGCAGTTTGAAGAAAGGAAGTAGATATGAAATTTGTGAAAGCACATAAAGAAAACATAATACAGACATCAGGATTTGACAGTATCAGATGATGATGATGAACAGATTACTTTTTGCAAAGAATTGTTAATTACTTTAAAATGGAGAGTGGTTTCAGAGGTCTGAGCAGTGTAGTTTTTTAACTATGTAATAATTAGGACATTTGATATTTTTTCTTGAATCAGGACTTTATTCTTGTTAGAAAATGGATAGTTTGCAAATTCAAAAACTTTACCATTCCAGCTATAGTGAGCTACAAGCAATTGTCTTAGCAGATTTAAAGAACACATAAAAACTGTTCTCACTGTTTTATGATAAGTCTAGTAATTTCTGTGAAATTCCTGAAAACTAGAGAGTCAACTTGAAAACATACTTAAAGGAAATTAAAACTGAGACCCTGAAGAGTATACCTTAATTCCCTTCATTGTTCATGAAAGATTGCTAAAATGGTTTGCTTATTTCCAGAGCAATTTCTCCTGTTAAAAATTACAAAATCAGCAAAATACCTTCCTGCAGGACTTTTTTTCATCTGTTTTTCATTAACTTTTCCTGAGTTGCAAGATGACAAGTTATAAATTGTGTAAATGACACTATTGGATCAAAGAGTGCAGACAAAAATGACCTCAAGTTTAAGAGATGATGCAAAATAGTGGAACTGCACAATGATAATTCAGGGTAAGGAAATAATGAAAATATTGTAGAAGCAGGGTAGAACTGACATTGGAATGGACTTCTGAAGGTTGTCTGGTCCAACCTGCACACTACTCAAAGCACTGTCACCTACAGCAGGTGTTAGTGTCTTTCTTAGGTTTTCAGTATCTTGAAGGATGGATATACCACAATGTGTTTGGGCAAAGCTTTGATGTTTGTTTACTCTTACAACCAGAAGAGTTTTCCAGATATTTAAAGGGACTTTGCTGTTCTTCATTTTCAGTCATTTTCCTGCCCTTAGGGATCACTGAGATCAGCTCCATCTTTTCAACCCCTGCTCATCAGGTATTTACTTCGATAAAATATCCACTAAGCCTTTTCTTCTGGAGATTAAACAATGACAGTTCTCTCAGCCTTATCCCACAGTATTCATCACTTACAAGGAATTCTCAAAAGAGTTTCAAAAATGTAACCACTTCCAGCAAAAATGCTTTGGACGTGATGATGATGAAACAAATAAAAATCATGATCTCCCACTTAGTTTGGCAAATTTGGAGTGCACTGGGACTGTATAAGAAATACTGGATAGTTGTAACGTGACATTAAATTTAATACCCTCTCGAGACTAAAACTAATTTATACAGACCCACTCCAAATATGAGTCCCTCACTGCACGAACAACTGTTTATAAATGGTTAATTATGTTACATGTGTTAATGGAAAAGAGATTTTTTTAAGCTACATGAGTAGTTTGATCCAAGACCTTTTGGAAGGCATGGAGCTAGGAGATGTCAGGAAGCTTTCATGTTACTTGTTTACTGAGTGCACCTCATGCCTCAGTGTGGACCTAGGAAAGTTGTTGCAAGGTCTTAGCAGTGATAGTTTCTCTCAAATCAAGCCCAACTGCGGACATGGAAGAAAGAAAATTGAGAAAGTGCAGTAAAAAATTCAACAAAATGCTAAGGGTGCTGATTTTCAGAAGAAATCTGCACTCCAGATGTAATTCTCCTGGAGACATTGTAATACGGCTTAGAGGGAGCTTGTATTTGAATACACACACAGTGTCTTTCCTGGAGATCTCTGAAACCTTCAAAAGAGTGAGAATACAGTTTTCTACATGTATAGCAACACCACACTTGAGGGCAGTGAGGTCTCCAAGCTCTATAGGATTTCTCTCATCTTTGCCAGAGATTTAAAGTGTGCAAGACAGGACAAGGAAAGAAACTTTTTTTTCCAGCCCCCTCTATTTAAAGTGTGTGGACACATTACAATGTAACCTCTTTACATGAGGCAATTCTCCTTTTCTTACATGATATATACTCCTGGCTAAATACTTCAAGATGATCCAGCATGTCCTTGAGACTAGAAATGTCTGACTTACAGTGACTCTTCTTCTCTGGCAGAAACCTTGTGAGGGGAGGCTGCAGCTTAGTGATTTTTCAAGAGGCAATAAAAAAAATCAGCAACGGCTGTCACAGAAATACAATTCATTACCAGAAATAATTTGAACACTATGCATGAAGTTGAATCAGGGATGAGGCTTGGAAAAATTGTAGAATGTTTTGAGATATTATGCAAAACAAAAGCACCAATAGCAACAAAGACATAGTGAAGTAAAACAATTTATAATGCCACATATTGGAGAGGAATGGAGATAGAAAGGAGATCACAGAATCAAAAATGCAAGTCTTTTTCTGTCTCCATAATTTCTTTAACTGATTATAACTCAACTTGCTTGTAAATCACCTGTGGCATTTAAACTCACTGCTTCCTCTATGATCTGGAACTTGACACTTCAGCATACTACAGTTAGACTTTCCTATTGGCTGCTGATCCAATTAAATCCAAGATGATTATAAGAAGTTGCTCAACTTAGTCAATCTTTTGCTAAGGATTTTCTAGGTTTATTATTTTTTTACACTGCCTGGTTATTCATGAGGTACAAAGGTTGAAGAAAAACAAAGTGCTGTTTCACCATATTATTTCTTGCCACCACACTGAAAAATCTACACATGTGTACATACGATACCTCTCAGAAGCAACCAAAAGGTAAGATACTTGGCAAGTCTAATTCAAAATGCAGGCAAAGATTTATTACTGTAACTTTGTTGCTAGACAAGAAGCCAACACATCTCAAAGTACATTAAAATTTCAGGAATTACTATGAACCTTGGACATGCTGAGTTGTTAAGTAAATTCTACTCCATTAAAAAGCTGGGGAACAGACTCTGAAAACCAGATCAATTCTATAAATCACCTTCCCAGAAAATTCATTACATTATCTTTAAATCATATCATTTTCAAAGTTCTCAGAAAGAAATTGTTAAGAAGGCTCTTCTAATTACAAGGAAATATCAAAGTGCTACCAATGTACTGCCAGTGTTTTGCCAGGCTAAGTCTCTTTTCAAAGCACTTAGTTTGAGCAGCAGCTCATAAAAACTGGTTCCAGTAAAATGCTAAACTGCAACTAAAATTACAGATTCTTTCCTGTTCTTTTACTGATTACACAGGTTCACACACAAAAAATGCAGGCAGTCACATTTGTAAGAAATCCCTATCTTTTCAGCAGAAACTTAAGTAAGAGTTAGAAGTTATGTTTTGTAATATGTACAACTTAGATTTTTCAACTTGTTTGTTATTAATGTACAGATTAATATTAAAAACAATACCTAATATATTTTCCCATTTTATTTAAGACAGCTCTTGTCTTCTAATCTGAAGACTACAATAATACTATTAATCTGTATTTATAAATTGCCAGATTAAGATCTGCTCTGTTTCTGAACTTACAGGAAGCAGTATCTTTAAAGTACAAATAAGCTGCAAGATCCAGATGTTAAAATGGCCATTTTGGGAGTTCTCAAAGAGCATCATGTCTTCCATTAACAATACACAAACTGAGTAAAAAAACATGCAGGCCACCAGTACCACCACTGACAAGTGCAAAACTTAATACAGAACATAATTCCACAGGGGCTGCTGCTAGCACCCCTTACCCCTGTGAGGGATGATGGCTAAATGGTAAAAGGTTTATGAACTTCCTCTGTATTCAGTATAAGTTTCTGACAACAATGGATCAGAGCATTTTAAGTGGCATTTATCTTCCTCTTCTTTCCAAGAAGTTATGAAATTTCCAGGCTGATTCAATTTAGGTGAATGAGGTCAATACTCTGGCATGCAAATATATAAAAGTTATCAAATAGACTTAATCAGTTTGTTCTATGACCCCATTTATTTCATTATGATCAGCAAAGGCCTTCCAGCACTCATTTTAAGGACTGGTGGAGGTTTTGTAAATCTGACAGGCTGCCTATGTTTAGCACTGTTTGTAATTAAACTTCCTCATGTAATTTCCCCCACTCTTTTCTATTACATTCAGTGAATATTCTGTACAGCTCACTTTAAACAAGTATCTTACACTTTACCTTTTGGGTTTCTATTACTTTGCAAGATAGAAATCTGGCAAGGAGGTACTAATATTAACTTGACACCCTATCTTTTCAGATAAGAAAAGATTAATTAAGAAAAACTGGAAAAATTAAAGGTTCATTACCTTTTACATAACATTTTCATTCAAGTATAATGAATGGCATAAACAGGGACTAACTTAACATCTCACAGATATGGTGTAACATTTCTGCTCAAAATTAGTAGATACTATAAATAGTGTCTGATTCAAAGGCAATGACTGAGAGATCCTTTCTTTGAGGGATGGTAATGTCACAGTAAATACCATTTGTAGGACCTTTCCTAACTTTCAAAAAATAAGGCTTGAATCTGTACAAGAATTCTGTCAATAGAGATTGAACCATGTTTACTTAGTTCCAAAGATCAGAGCAACAACTATACCTTCGTGACAGAAAAGTGCCAGTTTATGTCATGTTATAGGTTACATTATGGACAAGAAAGAGATGAAAATATTTATCTTCTAAGTAAATATTCACAAAAATGCTTAGTAACTTACATAAGAATGTA